AGGCCGCGCGGCCCGCGCAGGGGCAGGGGGGGGGTGCTGAGGGGAGCCGGGGCGCGCTGAGCAGCTGCAGGCCGGGGGTGCTGAGGGGAGCCGGGACGTGAAGAGGAGCTGCAGGCCGGGGGGGCTGAGGGGAGCCGGGACGTGAAGAGGAGCTGCAGGCCGGGGGGGCTGAGGGGAGCCGGGACGTGAAGAGGAGCTGCAGGCCGGGGGGGCTGAGGGGAGCCGGGACGTGAAGAGGAGCTGCAGGCCGGGGGGGCTGAGGGGAGCCGGGACGTGAAGAGGAGCTGCAGGCCGGGGGGGCTGAGGGGAGCCGGGACGTGAAGAGGAGCTGCAGGCCGGGGGGGCTGAGGGGAGCCGGGACGTGAAGAGGAGCTGCAGGCCGGGGGGGCTGAGGGGAGCCGGGACGTGAAGAGGAGCTGCAGGCCGGGGGGGCTGAGGGGAGCCGGGACGTGAAGAGGAGCTGCAGGCCGGGGGGGCTGAGGGGAGCCGGGACGTGAAGAGGAGCTGCAGGCCGGGGGGGCTGAGGGGAGCCGGGACGTGAAGAGGAGCTGCAGGCCGGGGGGGCTGAGGGGAGCCGGGACGTGAAGAGGAGCTGCAGGCCGGGGGGGCTGAGGGGAGCCGGGACGTGAAGAGGAGCTGCAGGCCGGGGGGGCTGAGGGGAGCCGGGACGTGAAGAGGAGCTGCAGGCCGGGGGGGCTGAGGGGAGCCGGGACGTGAAGAGGAGCTGCAGGCCGGGGGGGCTGAGGGGAGCCGGGACGTGAAGAGGAGCTGCAGGCCGGGGGGGCTGAGGGGAGCCGGGACGTGAAGAGGAGCTGCAGGCCGGGGGGGCTGAGGGGAGCCGGGACGTGAAGAGGAGCTGCAGGCCGGGGGGGCTGAGGGGAGCCGGGACGTGAAGAGGAGCTGCAGGCCGGGGGGGCTGAGGGGAGCCGGGACGTGAAGAGGAGCTGCAGGCCGGGGGGGCTGAGGGGAGCCGGGACGTGAAGAGGAGCTGCAGGCCGGGGGGGCTGAGGGGAGCCGGGACGTGAAGAGGAGCTGCAGGCCGGGGGGGCTGAGGGGAGCCGGGACGTGAAGAGGAGCTGCAGGCCGGGGGGGCTGAGGGGAGCCGGGACGTGAAGAGGAGCTGCAGGCCGGGGGGGCTGAGGGGAGCCGGGACGTGAAGAGGAGCTGCAGGCCGGGGGGGCTGAGGGGAGCCGGGACGTGAAGAGGAGCTGCAGGCCGGGGGGGCTGAGGGGAGCCGGGACGTGAAGAGGAGCTGCAGGCCGGGGGGGCTGAGGGGAGCCGGGACGTGAAGAGGAGCTGCAGGCCGGGGGGGCTGAGGGGAGCCGGGACGTGAAGAGGAGCTGCAGGCCGGGGGGGCTGAGGGGAGCCGGGACGTGAAGAGGAGCTGCAGGCCGGGGGGGCTGAGGGGAGCCGGGACGTGAAGAGGAGCTGCAGGCCGGGGGGGCTGAGGGGAGCCGGGACGTGAAGAGGAGCTGCAGGCCGGGGGGGCTGAGGGGAGCCGGGACGTGAAGAGGAGCTGCAGGCCGGGGGGGCTGAGGGGAGCCGGGACGTGAAGAGGAGCTGCAGGCCGGGGGGGCTGAGGGGAGCCGGGACGTGAAGAGGAGCTGCAGGCCGGGGGGGCTGAGGGGAGCCGGGACGTGAAGAGGAGCTGCAGGCCGGGGGGGCTGAGGGGAGCCGGGACGTGAAGAGGAGCTGCAGGCCGGGGGGGCTGAGGGGAGCCGGGACGTGAAGAGGAGCTGCAGGCCGGGGGGGCTGAGGGGAGCCGGGACGTGAAGAGGAGCTGCAGGCCGGGGGGGCTGAGGGGAGCCGGGACGTGAAGAGGAGCTGCAGGCCGGGGGGGCTGAGGGGAGCCGGGACGTGAAGAGGAGCTGCAGGCCGGGGGGGCTGAGGGGAGCCGGGACGTGAAGAGGAGCTGCAGGCCGGGGGGGCTGAGGGGAGCCGGGACGTGAAGAGGAGCTGCAGGCCGGGGGGGCTGAGGGGAGCCGGGACGTGAAGAGGAGCTGCAGGCCGGGGGGGCTGAGGGGAGCCGGGACGTGAAGAGGAGCTGCAGGCCGGGGGGGCTGAGGGGAGCCGGGACGTGAAGAGGAGCTGCAGGCCGGGGGGGCTGAGGGGAGCCGGGACGTGAAGAGGAGCTGCAGGCCGGGGGGGCTGAGGGGAGCCGGGACGTGAAGAGGAGCTGCAGGCCGGGGGGGCTGAGGGGAGCCGGGACGTGAAGAGGAGCTGCAGGCCGGGGGGGCTGAGGGGAGCCGGGACGTGAAGAGGAGCTGCAGGCCGGGGGTGCTGAGGGGAGCCGGGACGTGAAGAGGAGCTGCAGGCCGGGGGTGCTGAGGGGAGCCGGGACGTGAAGAGGAGCTGCAGGCCGGGGGTGCTGAGGGGGGCCGGGGCGGGAGGACGACGAGT